TTTTCTTGATGCAGATAAGATTTAAAGTTCGATGGCAGCGTCTTCTCATTCGGTTGAACGGGAAACCGGTCATTACAGACAGTTATACTCTTTGCTCCTTGTAAATTAATATGCCGGAAAAAGACAGTAATTAATTTATTTGTGATTTCAGCACCACAACTATGTTACTCGACAATCTGGAAACTGTATTTCAAAAATTTAATCATATACATTGCATCTTTCAGATCTTTAATTATTATATTTCTGTAGAAATTTATTTATAAAGTTAGACATATATATATATATATAAATGAATATTATACAATATTATAAAATTGCAGTATTATTACAATACTATACATTGCAATGTTATTGTTATTATATAATAACATAATTATAATATTATAAAATTGTTATGGAAATTCAATTCGAGTTATCTATTTGTGTTTCTGATAATCGATAGAAAAATTTTTCACTAAAGAAACTTTTAAAAATATTTATTTATACAATACGTTTATCGAATTCCATGATCTATTCCGCGATTTAGACTCTTTCGCGGATTTAATACATCGCTCGTCATCTACATATCTAGAATTAGACATCATGGAAAGGACGATAATTCCTACACGTGCAATTGCACGAAACATACTGCGATATATCAGATTAAAATAATTGAGAAATTGAAAATGGACTTCACAAATAAGCGTTCACCCTGCGTGATCGATAATTAAGCCGCACTTATTAATTATTCCTGGTATTACTACTTGGTAGTATAATTCCCTTTCCCTCTCCCGCAACGCTACCCGAACTTATTAGTCATTCCCGCTTGCACCTGCAACGGGAGTTTCGTTCCAGAGCGATCCAGCGGATCGCGACGAGAGATTAAGAGCTACAACCCGAGACAAATCTCGATCGTACGTCGGGCCACGAAGGTTTATTACATGGTGCCGCTACGTTAACGAGCGACAGTTATCATCGGAATAGCGCTCTCCGCTCTGCTGTTTGTTGCGCTTCTTTCCGCAACTATGCTTTTGAGACTTACGATAAAATTAATAACCTACCGCTAATAAATTTCTGATAAACCCGTCTCGGCAACAAGACAAGTTATTTAATTCAATCCTTGCTAACGCCATAGTTATATAGATACATCAGAATTTTCAATGTTAATAATTTAAAAAAAGCAAAATATTACTTATAACTTAATTTTGAAAGAATTAATATTTTGTATTATGTATATTTTTTTAAATATATTATATTTAAATATAAAAAATTTTTTGACAAAATATTTTTAAAATAATTTACAACTTTTGATATGAAAAGAATCAATGATGAATTTTGACCGAATAACCCAGTTTGTAAAACTTCACATTGGTAGCCTTTTGAAAACCAAGCCCGCAAATATATAAAATTGACCACATGTGAGACGAACAATTGTGCATGCTCTCCCCTCTGCTCGAGATATCTCATCTCGGGAGAGAGGAAAGAAGCGACTCCTCTTGACAGATTTCCGGTCACACAAGTCCGGGAAACGAGGGCATCCGGAATTGGCACGATAGCTTGAATCGTTTCGGGCCGTCTGGGCAATGGTAAAATTGCGAAACTTCCCGTGAGTTGCGAAAGCGGCGGCGGAATCGCATCGCTGTGATCCGCTGCAGCCGCGAGGTGGTACGTAAAGAAGAACCACGCATCACGCATCGGCCGCAAGTACTGCACACTTACGCGCAACAAAGGATGCCTTCGTATGGTTGAAAAAGACAGTCATGTACACTCCGGACTAAGATCGCGTCTCCGATAAATTGTATCTTTGTTAATATATTTTATATTTTTAATAAGTAAAGATTGTTGCATTTATATGTGAAAGAAAAGCAGAGACGGATTTTTATGAGAAAAATATTTAAAAATATTTTGCGTGATATGTTTACATATAATCATAAATAATTTTTATACAAAAAATGAACAAAGCGCTTTCTTGGGAGTATTAAAATATAAATCAAAGCTTAAAAATCTAGGCTGCTACTTTAATCAATCATTTTTTAATTAATCAGCAATCGTGAATATATTCATATATTTATAGATTTTTATGAAAGGAATAAATCAGCAATATTATATGTCTCTTTGTCATTGCATTTTAGATTTTTATCGGAGGTAAATAACATTCTTATCTTCAGAATCATATAATTTTGCGTGGTGATTTGTGTTCTGTCGAAACAAACATCATAAAACAATTAGACAAATCAAAGAAGGATAGATTTAAAAATCCGATTATAACATTCTTTTTGTTACGACCATATTCACTTTTTTAATTCACTGTACTCGCAAAAAGGATCGCGTGCAATTTTGCCCTCTTTCGCCTCGATTTCGGTCGAGGTTTTCGAGGAGAGAGATTTCGCGCATCCTCATCGACCGATATGGCGGGAAAGTCTGCGGCGTGAACGTTCATTCATGCTTCCTCGTCGGCTTATAAAGCGAAGCGTCGTACTGAAACGGTAAACATGTAACGGACGTGTTATTTCTATTTTCTTCCTTTTTGAAGAACGATCATTTCTTTTTGAAGTAGGCGTCTCCCGAAATTTCCCGTGGCTCGTCTTGACATCACTTTCCGCCGCTTCGCCGATACTTTCCATCGGGGAACGCCTTCTTCCTTCCGAACTTCGTTCTCAGTAGTTATCACTTCGCGAATTTGAATGGCAAGAAAGAGAACGATACATTGTGTAAGCGTTCCAAAATAAGAACTTCGCGATAACGGGATGAGAGACCGTGCGAACAGAAATTCCATGGGTGGACCGTTATCTGTCTGCCTAACGTCAATGTGCATGATATTCGCTATTTCAATATACTCGCTCTTTCTTCATCAATATGCTTTATTATTAATACTTCAAATTTTGATCAATATTTTAATAATTTGCATAAAGCGCAAAACTAGTAATGTGTAGTAATAATTATGTGAACAAATTCTTGTAATCTTTGTTTATTTGTTTTGTAAAATATTATTGTAAAATATTTTTTTTCAAATGTTACATAAATTAGAAAGCTTTAAAAAAAAAATTTTTTAATTTATATTTCAGGAAATGTTATGTATAATAATTTATAAGAAATATACTTATATTGAATCTTCTAATATAGGAGTCACACACACAGAAGAACAAAAGAAAATTTTTTATGGAATAATCATATTTTTCTTCTTTTATCTTATAGCATATTATAGTTTTAATTAAAATGAGAATTTTTAAAGCTGATTAATTGAGTTTTATATACCTGAAATCTTTATTATTATTTTAATTTTCGCATTTAATTTCACTTTGTGGCAATTTCTTAGAATAATCAACGAATTATTCACACTCATTGGGTAAAATTCATATTCTTTCCCAAAAATAAAAAATATTCTTTATAAGCCCATCATACACTTTATTTTAATCGTGCTATGACTAAATTAGCATTGCTTGTTTTCAAAACTACCCGCATTTTCGATATTCGTATTCATTTGCGTAAATGCTAGAAAGTCTGAAAGCAGCAAACTTCTTCTGTTACAAGATATAAAATAATTACGATTCCAGCGCTGCAATTATAATAATATTATTTTTAATTGCTTTTCTGTTTTGAAGCACAAGGCAGTGTATTTGGCACACAATATTAACTTCTGCAAATTTATCGATATTATTTCAATTCCCGTGAAATCATAAATTGCACACGCCAAATTAAGTCGTATCTGAAAACATGGATAACCGAGGATTGTAATTGCAGATTGTAATTAGCGCAGCTTGCTGCGACTCATTTCGAAAAGTCACTCCGCAATGTCAATGTCCTTGCATGGATGCGATATCGGAATCTATCGCGATTTTCCATATAGGTCGATAATTAGATGTCCAAGAAAGACTTTATGTATCACGAGATATTTCCATTTGCAATAGCTATGTCGTAGCGATTATAATGATAATTATTAATAGTAAGCCACTCAGTTTTTTTCTTTTCTTCTTTATTCAAAGATGATGAAGACACTTGTTTCATATCAAAATATGAGCTTAAAATAACTTCAACAACAGTGCATGACAAAATTATTTCGTTAAAGTCTGCAAATTTGGGGTTGAGATGAGAATGGAATTGCACCAGTGCTTACTTTAATCAACACGAACTGTTATATTTCTTGCTGTATGATAGGTAGTTTGAATGTTATGGCTCTTTTTGCAGTTTAACAGAAATGAAAGTGTGCTAACTAATCAAACGTTTAATAAACCAATAAAACGAAAGAGAGAAAGAAAGATTCAATAAAACAAATCATAAATTAAAAAACAAATAATATCTTAAAACTAATTTGATTTTGTTCAGTAATAGCCGTAATTAGACAGTAATTAGTACTTCATCAATCGTATCATATTACATACCTTTTTTTTTATAATAACCCAAAATTCCTCTAAGAATGTCTATTATAAAGATTATAGTATCTATTTAATGCATACCACTAATTGTACTCAATTCATGAATTTAGTTAATACATCAACTTATATACAGACTAATTCATAAATATGTGTCAATACTGTAACGATGAAATCTATATTCAGGCAAATCAAATATTATAGATATATATAAATATTTTCATAGTAACTTCCATAAAATAATATTTATAACATTTAAAAAAATTATTATATATTAATCGTTATATCTAAATATTATTTTCATTATACACATATATTAATTCTCAATACATTTATTTTCTCAAACCTATTATATAATATAATAATTTATGCATTACGTCTAAAAATGCGCTTGGTTCTGCAAACAAATCTATTGCGATTTTCTTAACTCATCACTTATTTAGGAGCTTAACTAATAAATTTAGGACCGTTTAATCTCGATGCAATACTTGCTCTGCATTTTAATGCAAGCGATAATTTAAGGAGAAGCAGAGAATAAAGCGAAGAAGGACTGCGTTTTGATATTTACTGTCAGTACTGAAAATCTATTTACGTCATATATGTACACTATAGATTTTCAGTACTGACAGTGAATATCGGAACGCAGCCAAGATGAAAGGAAAAGAGCAACGAAGTGGAGAGGCAAGGTAAAGGAAATAGGCGTTTGCATTGTGTTCGCACAGCTGTTTACCCAGTTTTCCAACAGCAGCGATGCTAATTTCCTGTATTGTATATCGATACACACGTGCATTCATCGCGCGCCACGATGGGTTGAGACATAGGGGGAGAATGAAGATGATGATGAAGGATACTTCTCTTCGATCGTGATCTATGCGACGATTCACGTCACAAGCAAACTAGCCTCGCATTTGCATAACGAACTACATTATACGAGAACACATGTTTAATTGTCAAATCGAAACGTCGCGGCTGCTTTTGTTCTCACGATTAAAAGATTAATCTCAAAATTTATATAATACATTCCTCCATATTCACGCAAATTTTTATGAAATGCTAATTTCATAAAAAATATCTGATATGTTACATATATATCTATCGCTAAAATTTATATACATTTCTCCTTTATGGTCGAAAAGAGTGTATTTATTACAATTGTTATGTTTAAATTGGCGCATCGTAACAGGAACCATAAATTATACTTTAAGCTTCCTCCTTTTCGATTTTATTTTATTTTATATTACGCACTCTTTCGTCACAAATTACTGAGGGTTATCTGTCCGGTTAATAACGAGGCGAAGGTGACGATAACGCTGGTTAATGAGACTTTGCGCAATTGATGACTCGGCCAATCGTGATTAACCGCACTTATTTGAAAAAACCGCACCGCAAACTAATTGCGTACATTATTTCCGCAAGATGTGCAATACGTTAATCGCTCCGACAATGTGCCCGGATAAATATAGGCAACGTATATCACGTGAAAATGTGAGTGTTTGACGTCTTGAAAGAAGGAAATATAATTTATCTTCGTAGAACAATATTGTAGAGCAAAAGAACTAAAAATTTTTTCTCCAGATGGAATATAACATTGTTTCTCTAAATTGATAGGGTCAAATTATATCGAAAGCTATTCTTGAGAAACGTCAGAATTTAAAACTTAATCAAAATTTGACTCGAAATGAACAAGGAAGGATCGCAAATATTGTGGCGCTTGAGGTAAATGTGAATAATTAATGTCTTGCATTGCAAAAATAATTAGTCCACTTTTCAAAGCCATTATATTTTTCCGTCAAGTAAAATTGCGTTTAGAGTTTAGATAGTAGACAATTACGGAACTTCTTTACTCATTGCCTAGGTAGAGTAATTAAACTATTCTGTGTTGCGCATTTTTCGTTCCCGATCATTATGCTTAATGTCCAGTAATCTCTTGTTTTGCAATATCATACACATGCAAATTGTTCGCTTCTTGATGACCTAGAGACTTCTAGCGATTATTATATATTATTGTCACATCATATTGTTTAAAGCTTAATTTTTTACTACGGAAATAATATTATATTTATGTTTATATTTGCATCAGATATAATTCTAAAATATTCCTAGTTGCGATCTGAGAATAAATCAACGTATTATATACATGATAAAAATATGCATGATACAATATTCAAACTTATTCTCTTTGCATTCATCTTATGAGCTGCATATTCGTATATATTAAATGTTGATGTTAAAAATAATATTAAACACTTTGATTACAATTTTCGATGTAATAGCTGGTTTGAGAATCGCGTTCAGCTATTACATAAACATAAAATAAGCATGCGCAAAAACCCAGGACGTCATCAATTAACGAGTGATACACAATCTTGACCTAGATCCGACCGTTTCGAGTTGGCAGCTGTCACGGTAACTTCTCAGCGCATCGCGATATATTTAATTCCAAGGTTGTGTGTTACATATTGGCACAGCCGCCCCTCTTCATCTAGGCAGATTCGAGCAACGCCATGCTACTCGCCTCTCTCTCCTAGGAGAGCAGCCAATAAAGTGATGCCGTCGAACGGCGCCGACGCATTCGGTTTCTCTCCTACTCTGAGTGAAGTGGCTTGCCGAATGAAATCTAACAGAGAATATCTTATGCGCGCGCACAGCTGCTCCGGAGGATGCCTATTGGCGTGATGAAATCGCATCTGCATTCATGCCTCGAGTTAAGATGGACGTTGTACGATGGTACCTTAGATCATGGACCGTGCATTCTCTAATGCTGTCAAAATATCCGAATATGACAAATATTTCCCGGTTATTATCCGGTTATTTCAAATATTACCCGAGCAATCAAATATTTATTTATTTCGATATAATTAGGTAACAGAGTATTGAAAAACTACATGGAATATATTAGTTAAATTAGATCGAATTTTCTAGCTAATCGATTCTGCTTGTTATTTCACGCATAAAAATATTAGATGATTATAAGATAAGATCAGATGGGATCTCTTATATTGAAAATTAAATACATTATGATATACACACATAAGATATTTTATAATTCGCGCCTACTAATTGCAGAGCATTATTTCTTAATGAAGAATATATATACTATAATAATACATCAGAATACCAGCATATCAGAATAATATATTTTATTAGTACCTGGATATGGTGCCTTGCGTTATAATATTGGAGTACTAGATAATACTCGTATCTAAGATAACCAAGAGTTTGAGTATAATGTCCGCGAATTTAATAATGGAAAATATCTGAGTATAGAGATAAAACTTGATTTATACTAAGAACACTATCGCGTATATTATGTTGTTCTTAACGAGATAAAATAAAATAGATGTAGGACATAGATGTACAAAAAGCAGCAACTGCTGTGGAAAATGAACGAAACATTATGTCAATCAATTATATGTGTCAATTAGATTGCTTTGAAAATCTCAATTGCCGCTATTTAACGATAATTATTTTGAAACGGTTTAATTCTCTCTATATTTTGTATACCTTAATCGCAACTATTTATATTATTGAGTTTAGTATGTAAAAAGTACGCGACGAAAATATATTATATAAGCTAATCTTATGCAACCAAGACATACACACGCACTGTGCTTGAATCTGTCATGTAATATTGCGGCATAAGCAAACACACGCTACGATCGCGGAATTTCAATTGCAAAATATAAGCGGAGGGTAATTTGAATTTAACACGCCGCGATACTCAATCGTTTATGCGTGGGGCGTCGCGGAAACCACTAATTACCCATCCAATGATCTACGGCACGAGTCGCGCGAAATGATAGTCGCGTCATTCCAACGGAAATACGTAAGTATCATACATACGTACATCCATCGTTAATTCCAATATCGCCCCCTCCATGGAGAGAACTTAATCTGCTATTAAACATTCGTCTTGACACTGATACAAAACGGAACACTCGCATCCCGACCCCCTTCCTGTTCCGTGAAAAGGAAACCGCCCATCGCCGATGCTTAGAGTGCATCTCACGCGTTCTATCGAGCTGGTGGGGGATTTTACACGTACATGTATTACGTTACTTCACCGGACTATGCGCGATTCTTGGACACGATGGGGGGAAGACGCGCGCGCGTCGTCCCCTTCGTTCCCTACCACGGGGACGCCGGTGTAGTCGCGCGCCAGCGCCGGTAGGCGTGGTCTCCAGGTAGCACACGAGGCCGATGCGCAGGTGAGAGAAGAGTGAAACCCGTAGCGAGAGGAGACCAGGTAAGGGGAAGCTACGAGCCAGCCACATACAGCCGACAGGCAACGCACAACGCACGCACGCTCGTCCGCACACGCGAGAGACCGTGCGTGCCCTTCTCGGCCACACCGCGGGGTCAGTCGGGGTCCTGCTCTTACTCAGGACACTCCGAGGGAGAAAAAGCTTCTTCGTATAGACTGACGCTCAGATATACGGCTACTTGTAATCGTAGTCGCCACCTAGTCGCTGCTCTCGTCGGAGCAACCATATACGTGGTCGCTTCAATAGCCACGAAAAGCAAGAAGACAAATCAATTGAACCACATCATTGATATTAGAGAGATTCTGTGAAAGGATTTAAAGTCTCGCACGTTCGTGTATTTTTGAGATTTTGATTGAAAGAAATCGAAGTATCGGAGAAAAAGATCGATATCCAGCTGGTGGTTTACATTCGCCACGGTCGACCTTGAAGAACCACGTGGAACGCTCCAGGAAGGAGACTCGGCTGCCCGGCGAGCGGGACTTGTTTCAAGATCGTCCGAGAGAACATTTGATTCCGCGTTTTTCGAGCGCACGCGTGTTTCCGCGATCGGTATCTGTGAGAAAACGACGTGTGTCGGAAGTTTGACGTTTGCTAAAGAGATTTGTGTGATACGCGCCGGACACGCATAGTGCCGGGAACCGATATAGTGCGCGATCCTCCATATGAACGGCGTAGAATTTTAGCGCATCGTTCTTGCCACGACACTTGAACGTGATGTGTGGTGAGTACAGGATTTTATTAATACGTCCAAATACAAAGTGGATGTTTGTTGATTAAAACCATCTAACCAGGTCAAACCGATATAATAACACGTGACACATTTGTTGATTGACTTAGTCGCTGATACATTTTGGCGAACAAAATAATCTACGCATACTTTTCTGGCATAACATTATCGAGAGCTTAATTTTATAATAATTTTATTATATATGTCATGCAGATAATATACGTAATTTATAATAAATCGTAATAAAAGAAAATTGTAAAATTTGTATATAAGTTATTATGTACGTATAAAAAAGCAGAATTAAATTTTTGACAAAAATATACGGAATAAAATTTCATGACATTAATATTTTCAAACTTTTTATGATATACATAATTTTGCTGAAATTTGACATGCATATAATATAATAATTATCCAGATAAAAAAAGTTGAATTGTGTATCGAAAATTTTCATTGAATGCTGATCAATTCATTCAAATCAATTGATTTGAATGAATTAATCAGCATTCAATGAAAATTTTCGATACACAATTCAACTCATTTTTTCTTGCTAATCAGTTATTAAAACAAAAAAAAAAGTAATGATTATAATGAGAAATTTATATTTATTTGTACGAAATGAATCTATCGATACTATAAAAGTGATATATGCATGCCATTAATCATTAATACTTTTCTTGTTCGAAGTGATATG